CTTCAACTTCTGGGGTCCCATCCGATGCGGCCCCCGAGCTGGGCGGCGAGTCCACCCTCACCGGCTGAGGAGCACTTGGACTATGTGGCGGGCCCATCCTCGTCGCCTGGGGGGCCTTCACGACCCTCCTGCCTCGCTTCTGGTCGCAGGACAATTTCAAAAGCCTTTCCCGTCGACCGGCCATCGAACCTGCACGAAATAAAAGATGGGTTAGTATCGAGCAAGCTCATAAATAAATAACGAGCAAAGAAATTCAAGCAATAAGCAACCTAGCAGACGGGCAGCCTCCCTGTACGTCTGGCACTCCACGAGTGCCTTAGTATCAATCGGCCGAGACTCAAACGTTGGGTAACCCTCTGCGTCCAAGATATCATCCCCTTCCCTCGTAGCCCACCGGGCAGGGTGGAAGCTATCGACAAACCGACAAAGTGTGGCGTACGCCTCGTCGTCCTCCGAGCACATGTCCCCGGAAGCAGTGTGGTAGTAACCAGTCCCATGCTCGTAGTGCCTGAATATCCAGTGCACAGGGAACTTTGTCGTACGGGCCATCACAGGATTCCCATCGTCGCCCAAAACCGCCTCCCCGTCATCATCGCTTAGAGCCTCCTCCTCCTCGTACAGGGATCCTAAAGCCGAGGTGGTAACTGGCCGCACAACGTACCACTTGTCTTTAAAACCCCTTACGGAGTCCATATACATTTTGAAGAGTCTCTTCGACTGCTTCAAGGAGACCTAGCTGTGTTTCCCTCCTCGAGACTGGCGCTGCAGATGAAAAATCCGGAAGAAGAGCGGTATGGTCGCCCCGATCCTCAGATAGCGACACGTCAGCTCAAACGCCTGGATGAAGGCGAGTGAGTTTGGATGTAGCTGGGACGGGGCCAACTCCAGGTGAGTGAAGACCCCGACCTGGAAATCAGTGAAGGGCAGCTGCAGCCCAAGATCTTTGAACGCGATCTCGTACATCGCGAAGCTATATTCTGGATACACCGAGCAGATCCTTGAACGGGAAGACGGGCGCATGACAACGAAATTCTTTTGGAAGTCGGGCTTGCCCTGGCCCGCTTCGAGGACAACATATGGATTTCGGTCGCCCCGGCTGTAGATCGACGCGATCCCTTGGGGCTCGACGCCCACCCAATCCAGCAAAGGGTCGGTCACAGTATCAATCAAGCTGACCGACTCATCGGCACTTTGTTCTTCACGATCGTGGCGCCCGGAGGAGCACGGCTCGTCCGCCATGGTTACCTGCAGAGCACGGGAAACCAGTCAATTGGGCACGAAGCCATACGCTCGACAAACCACGCCGTCCCATGCACGACCACATAGTCAGTTTACACGAATGGTTGCCTCCCCGACATCCTGAAACTCGATGTGTTCTTCCTCAAACCGACTACGCGGCCACTCTCCAACATGTCGACCCAAGGTATGAACATGGCGAGCCACATCATGAGGATTACGGCCAAGACCATGAACATACCAGGCGCGATCATGAATCAGGCGCCCTGGATCATGAAGACCCCGGGCAGCGCTGAAGTTTATCACCTAAAACTGTGAATATGCCGACCACAAACATGTGTTTGTCGGTCCTAAGCATGAATATGTCGAGCTAAGTATGAGTTTACCGGGCTAATCCCACGCGCACAGTCCCTAAAACATCTACAAACGCCAAAAATCATGCATTTTAACAGGAAAATGAAGAAGATAAACCACTTACTTGAATCAAAAAGTAAGATTCGGCTACGGAGTAGAAGAATCTGTGACAGAAGATTGCGACTGGGAAAAATCTGGAAGAGCAACAGCAGAGAGAGCACAAGGAATAGAAACGTGTTATGGGGCCCAAGGTTCCTATTTATAGTGATGACGTGGAATACCAAACGTCACCTCGGGCAACCACGGAGTCTCTCTCCCCGACGCGCTGCTCCCAACGCAATGATGACCCTATCCCCATAGGGTGGCGACACACTTCCCGAAAGATACCTCGTATGCTCGACAGACGCGCCCCGGTGAGGATCCTCCAAGCATCCACCGCGGAAGATGTCTCCGAGCACGGCACGAGGAGGCCCTCGAGGGTCTACACCTCTGTCCCGGGCACGAGACCTCGATGAGGAAACGACCTGAGTTCAAGCCATGGCTCCTCACAAAGGAACCACGACTTGGGGGGCTCCTGTTATGGATTGGGCCCGACAGGCCCAAAAGCGTTGCAAAGGCCCAATCCAAATGGACTTACAAGGGCCACGCCGACCAAAGAGCACGACCGTGCCCGACGGGTAGTCGCAGGCTCGACAGCACACCTCCAGCTCGACATGCTGCGGTCCAGCACCACATCCTGAGGTCCAGCTCGACATTACCTCGAGCACCCCATCTAGGGCAGACTCAGTCCACTGTTCCCCCAACGATACCCCGAAAAGACCGCGTCTCCGTCCGCCCGCACTTCACGCAGAACATCCAGGAAGGGGACCACGTGCGGGTCCCCACTACGCACGTAGAACCTGGCAGTTCCTCCATTGGGCCAAACCTGCCCGGCCCAATGAAGGAACCTTGGCCCAGCGCTGGGGGCTATAAATACCCTCTGCTTCCAGAGGGTCAGGTATCCATCATTCTAACCTTACACTTGCTATTATCTGCTCGTACTCCTACTTACTTCAGCATCGGAGTGCCTTGCAGGTACCCCCCACTTCGTTCAAAAAGCTTTATGCTCGGAGCCAGCCGTGACGGTCCATTTCTGATTAGGTCAGATCACTAATATATATATATATATATATATATATATATATATATATATATATATATATATATATATATATATATATATATATATATATATATATATTCTCTTAATTTGAGAAAACTAAAAAGTTATAGTATTGAACAATAAATTTGAAGAATTTTAGAGCGTTTAGATAAATTCTTCGATTATCATCTATGTTATATAATACTTTAAAAAATTTAAAAATATTAATGATAAATATTTTATTATTGTTTTTTAGAAATTATTCTTTTAAAATATATTTTTATTTTATTTTAATTTTTTTTTTCAGAATCCTTTGATTTCTGTCATTTTCTAATTTGCCAAAATTTTAGAAAAGCTATCAACAAAAATAAAATAAATCCAGGGAGACCTTTATTTCAAGTGTAGGAATTATATTCTCAAGAATATGAGTGGAAAGTAATTATTCTCATATTTGTTATAAGATTAAAAAAATTATTCTCAAAAAATAAATGTTTAATTTCCATAACTTCTGTAATTTTCATAGTTTTATTTTCATGAAAAGAACATGAGAATTGTTCATTTCTATTAAATTTCATATAATTTTTTAAAAAAATATAACTACTCATTTTCTAAAAACATCAATTATATGTCAAACACAATTTCAATCAAATTTTTAAATTTTTATTCTCAAATAACTTATTTCTAAGAATCTTTTATGAATCTTTAAAACAAACATCTACTAAAAAAAGATTTGCCTCTCTTTATTCAAAAATTGTTTAATAATAATTTACTAGATCAAAGTACAATTAATAAGTAAGTTAAAGGATAACATTTCAATTAAACTTTTAAAAAAAGTTTCCAACTTACCAAGAAAAAATTAGAAATCCATTCTTTCTTCTTTTATGAAAAAAAGAAATACTTCCCCCAAAACAAACATAAATCTATGTTGTTAAAAATATCCATACGAAGATAATATATTTTAAAATTATTTAAAATTTATTTAATTAAATTTATGAGAGAATTGTTGTGATAGAATAGGTTATAGAATTTTCTTTTTATTTTTTAATTAATAAAAAATTGTAATTGATTTTGTGTAAAACCTTCCTAATCGTAATTATTTTTCCTAAAAAACCTCTCTTGTCCATTTAAAAAATTCGCTTGCCGGCAGAATATAGTTTTCTTTACTACCTCCAATCATATCATTCGGACACTTCACATTGTTAAAAGTAATATAGTAAACCAAAAAAAAAAAACAAATTACTTTTAAAAAATATTTTATTTAAAAAAAAAATGCACTCACAATTTAAAATAATTTTATTTTCAACTAATTACGATTATGTTAAACGTCAATTATATTATTATTTTAAAATAAATTATATGATATAATTAAATGAATTTTTTTCATTAAATGATAGTGTATATTTATTTTACACTAAGTGCATAATATAAATAAAATAATTTTATATGATGAATAAATCATAACTATTAAATTTTATAAATATTTAACTTTTTCTTTAATAAAATATAAAATATAATTTGTGAGTGATAGTAGATCTGAAAAGGTTCCAACGGCTCAATTCAAATACAAACTAAAATAAGAGCGTATCAGTAATCACCAAAAACACGTTCACTCCCACTTCTTCCCTTTTCAATCTCCGATTTCTCAATCACTTTTTTCTCAACTCGATTTTCCAATTCTTCTACATTTCTAAACCCTATCTCTCTCTGCGCTTCTTCCAGGTACCATCTCTTTCTATCTCGTTCAATTTCCCCCTTTTCTTGTAATCATCGTTCACTCAACATCAATTCAATTTTTCAATTTTCTCTTTCTTTTTTTTCTCCGCTTCTTCATTTTTCTTTTGTCAACTTTTACACGATTATGATGCCTTTTTTCTACCTTTCTTTCTAGTCCTTGTCAATGCTTCGTGATTGATTCTCTTTCTTTGTGTTGCTTTACTCTTATTGAATCAATGCTTTTATATATTCTCTCAACCCTAGTTTATCGTTTTTTCCCTTTTTAGTCAATTTTTGTTTTTATCAAGTCAAACAAGTTTTCATTTTGTGAATATGGTTTCTTATCGTATAATAAAATCGATGCTTTTCTCCTAAGTCAATTAAGGTTAAGATTAAGAATTAGGGTTTCTTTCGCTTATACTTTTTGCACATTACCAGTATCTGAATAACATTGTTTACATATTACAGGGAGACAATAGAGGGCATTCAGTTCTTAATTGCTGACAACTTTACCTTGATCTGCTTCCGATTCAATTCTGTTGCAATAAGAGAGACAATGTTCAGTTCAAAGAAATCTCCTTTGAGAGCTGGTAAACCTAACTCTGTTAGTTCGGTAAATGATGTTAAACCCTGGTCCAACCCGTTTGATTCTGATGATGGTGATGAAAAGGATAACAAAAAGTATATTTCTTCCTCGAAGAAGGCTTCTTCGGAACGTGCACTAGCTACGCACAAAGTTAACACCAACCCGTTTGACGATATTGATGACAATAAGACACCTTCATCGATTACGTATACCCATCAATCAGCCGACCGGAACAGGTTCAAGAATAGTTTTCATGATTCTGGGGATGATGATGAAAAGGATAACAAAAAGTATAATTCCTCAAAGAAGAATTCTTCAGAACGCGCACTAGTTACGCTGGAAGTTAATACTAACCCATTTGACAACATTGATGACAATAAGAAACCTTCATCGTATACGTATGCCCATCAATCAGTAGACAGGAACAGGTTTAAGAATAACTTTCGCGATTCTGGTGGATTAGAGAATCAGTCCGTGCAGGAGTTGGAGAGTTATGCTGTTTACAAGGCTGAGGAGACTACAAAATCGGTCCACAATTGTTTGAAGATAGCAGAAAACATTAGAGAGGATGCTACCAAGACTTTAGTCACCCTTCATCACCAGGGTGAGCAAATTACCAGGAGTCATCAAGTCGCTGCTGATATTGATCGAGATTTAAGTCGGGTATAATCTTCGTAATATGCTTTTGTTCAAATGCTCCTATTTGGTGGTTTCTTCATGTTGTTTTTACTTTTGTGAAAAAATTTATGTTGCTCTCATAGCACTCTTGTGTTGAAACCCTTTCAAATTGATTTGGTGGACTAAGGATCAGTTTTAAAAGACTTCCCCACAAGCCCTTATGGGAAAAGAAATGTCAAAAGAAACTTCCAATACTATGAGTATTTTAAACAATAGCTTCTCTTGTAAATTGAAATTAGCTTTTGCTTCTCTATTTTATTAGGAGCTCTTTCATTTTGCTTCTCTGTAAAACTTTCTGTCTAAGTTGAAATACTTTTCTATAAATGAAGAATCATGAACTTATTATGATTTTAAAAGCTTCTGATAATTATGAGCAAAATCTAAGCTGTGCCTAAAACTGACTAAATTTTGATTATCTTGTCAACTGGTTCCAGGGAGAAAAGCTTTTAGGAAGTCTTGGTGGCCTCTTCTCCAAAACTTGGAAAGCAAAGAAGACACGTACAATAACAGGCCCTGTTATTTTTCGAGGTTAATATTTTCTCTGCTTGTGTTTTTTTTCTTTCTAATTCTTATTTATTTTGGGTTGCATGCCTGTATCTCAAGCATAATGTTCTTCATGTTATGTAGATGATCCGGTTAGAAGAAAGGGAAACCACTTGGAACAAAGAGAGAACTTGGGATTGACTTCTGCATCCAAAGAGAAGTCTAAGCTGCGGACTCCTCCTCAGGAACCAACAGCTGCACTTGAGAAAGTCGAGGTTCGTATCAACTCATTGAAAGATTAAACTGTTGTATAAAGCCTGAGCTGATCTTGACAAAGCTTTAGTTTCTCTTGATATAAATATAAATCCAATTATTCGTTGTTGGTTACTCTCTACTATAGTTTAAGCTCTATTAATCAGATCACTAGTTTGCATCAAATCAGTTTTATTTACAACCATTAATAATATTTTGCAAACTCTCTTAATCTTTCTCCCATTAACCATCTAGTCCAACATGGATAATTTTCATTTGTGACTTCCTCTTTACCTTGCACATTATTTAGTGTTGATATTGTATTCAGATGCTAAATAAAATGTACTGAAACAGTTTGAAAAGGGGAAGCAAGATGATGCACTGTCGAATTTAAGTGATCTCTTGGGGGAGCTTAAAGATATTGCTGTTGACATGGGATCTGAAATTGAGAGGTGTTAATTAACTACATTCTATTTATTATTCTATCTAATTATACAGACAAATTAATAGTTATTTTGGTAAATGTTGCAGACATAACAAAGCCTTGAGTCATCTAGATGATGATGTGGATGAGTTGAATTTCCGAGTGAAAGGAGCTAATCAACGCGGCCGTCGTTTACTTGGAAAATAAGATTGATGCTCAACTTTTACTCATTGTTTTTTCATACTGTAATAGATCCGTCATTTGGGTTAAAGACAAGACCACCTTTAGTTATTGCTGAATTTGCAACAGATTAGTGTAGCCTTGTTTTGAGTTTATTATTGTAGAATCATTCTGTTCATAAAAACTAACAAACCTGTAGTGATAATAAGTACCTAACCTTGCATGGAGATATATTTTTCTTCGTTGGGCTAAAATTCTCCAATACGGGGATGAGTTTGGAGGACATTAAATAAATTTATAAATCGTTTTCCTCTCTTTATAATATTATCAAAAGACAGAAAATACTATATTATTTTCTCCTATTTTAAAACACTCCTCCTTCTCCCTTCCTTATTCTGTTAAGTAATTGACAGTCTTCTGTCGAGTATATTGTCGTTTTGAATAGCAAAGCAGAAATCACATGTTAAATTAAAAAAGAAAAATTAACACAAAGTTCATAAGTAGGTAAGAATAAGAATATCACAAGTGTGGAAGGACTACAACCATGAAAACCGGCAAGTCAGGAACAAAAAGAAAATCTAAAGAAATAATCATAACCAAAGGGAAACAAACAAACAAAAGACAGCCAAACAACAAGACATGTGATAAGAGAGACCTCTAGAGAGAGCAAGTTGAGGGAAACTAGCACTGAATACCTGCACAAAACAAAAGGAGGGCGGCTAGTCACCCAACGCATCCCTAACTGCATAGCCACTTAATCGGGTCCTATTATCAGTCATCCAGAGAAATGGCAAGACCCAAGACATGAGCTTTAATCCACTTGCACGTTAAGTTAATAATCATACATATCCAATGATTAATTGTCAAATTTTTCTTGCAAACAATAACTTTATTCCACATTTTCTATTTAATCCAGATTACATAATGCCAAAACGAGACCAAGTCTAAAGACGTCTATTTTCCAAAATCAAAACCTTAAACCAATTCAAAAATTCCTAAGATCGAGTATGGTAGAGACACCGACCGTCAAACCCACCTAAAAACTATATACCAAATGTCCAAAACCACCTTAAAAAAAAAAGAGATGATCTAGCTCATAAGTGCCAAGAGCGACATAAAAAGGATGTCACACCTTGGAGAAACACCGCATTATGAAAGAATTAATTATACATCACAAAACTCTATAATTGATTAACCCAAAAACTTCTACATCACAAAACTCCATAATTGATTAACCCCAAAAACTTCTTATAGAAATAAAAATTGAAACCGCCGGGTCTTAGACTCTTAATTCCACCAATCTACGCAACAACATCGTCCAGCTCTGAAGACAAGAGCATGGCCGAAAAGGACTCAACCTCATTCAAGGAAATAGTAGGGAGAGAAACCCCATCAAGATTTGGCCTAACAACCTCCAAATTAGAAAAAAATTTCCTAAAAGAACCTAGTAATCTCCCTTATAACCTCAGAATCCTTATCCATCCAAATCTCTCCAAAATGAAGAGCAACCAAATTATTCCTCATATTCCTCTGCCTAACACAAGCGTGAAAAAAAACTAAAATTAGTGTCTCCCTCTTTCATACAAGCCAATCTAGACATCTATAAAGTCTAAGAATCACGAAACCTGATCAAGCTCTACAACTCTTGACACACTATCGATCTGCAAACCAATTCTTCTTAGGAAAGAGACACGGACTCTGCTTTTAGCTCCAACTCTTGAAATTTATTTGACCAAACCTTAATTTTAAAATATAAATAATTAAACACCTCTTTGTTTCAAACCTTAAGAGTCCCTTTAAGAACTCTTAATTTATCCTTTAAATTACAAGTCATCCAACCATCAAGAACCTCCATCCACTAGGACCCGCAAACCACCTTCTCTAAACTAGCGTCCCTTATTAAAAAATTGTTAAAGCTAAAGGGTTTTGGACCCCATAACTAAGAAGAATATTTCAGAACAACCTTGACCTCACTCCTATTCCCAACCAATCGACAAGAGAATCTGATCCAACCTACTCATAGAGATCACATTCAAATGAAACCAGGTAAACCTTCTACCCAGCAGAGGTAAATCCATCAACCCCATAGTCTCAATGAAAGCTCTAAACTCTAGGGACTCCGCAAGGGACAGATTATAAACCCTTTACCAAAACCCCCTTTCTCTCGGCTCGATTAAGAATCACATTAAAGTGATAATGAACTCAAACCAAATGACCTCACATAACATTTTCCGCCACCAAAGAGCACTGAGCATAAACATTAACATCGATCTAAATAGGGTTGAGCGGTCACTTCTACTCAAGCAAAACTCCAAGATACCTTGACCCAAAGAACGAGAAGATCACCTCCCCTTTCACACTACATCAAATTGAGAAACCGATCATCCTGAGAGAAACAAAACCCGACCTCTTTAGACATGACTAAGACCTGGAAAGCATCTCGTGATCAATTATTGACCTCGAAAGATTCAACCTCTGAAACGAAAAGCTTGAATGAGTAATGTTCTTCAACAAGTATGCTTAAAACACTTATTGACCACTTAAATACAGCTGCTCAATAGAAATTTCAACGAGAGCTTACATTCCCAAATTCCTAATACTCACTCTTCTATAAGATTCAATAAACCTTTTCTTTATATTAAAGTTTACTGTTTCTAAAACAAGCTGGAGCATCAAAGTTGGGGTATACAATAAATACAATAGATAAAGGAGCTACATATATTGGAGAATGTACATTATTGAAAACTGGGTCCAATCTAGGAATTTCACCATCATCTGTTAACTTTAGTGGCTTACCATTCAGCAACATGGTTTTGCTTCTAAGGTAATCATTTTTTGAAGTTAAGTGATACTCCTCCCTGAATATGACATCTGATCCTTTTGTTCCAACCCAAGCAAACGCCCTTTTGAGATGATTTAAGAATGAATTATCTGATTGGATGTTGCTTTTGGCGACGTTTCCTCCATTACTGGCATTGGCACGATCATGAATATTGAGTATGAAATTAGTCTGATTGCTTAAGTTGATTAGCAGCAATGTTACTCCATCCTGCAGAATGAAGAAAAAATTAAGAATGGTTATAGGAACGCGCCAACTTGTTGAGCTAAATTTTAACTTACTCTTCCTTTTGAACAATGGGCATAAGTGCGTAAAAATGGTGAAAAAACATCACTAGAAGCTGCAAGAACACTCTTCCCCATAAGCTGATGCCACAGTAGTGCACTGCTCAAATCAAATCGAAAACATAAGATTCGATATCATTAGAGAATTAGCAATATGTATTACTATAATTATTATAACAAACTATTTTGCATTTGTCAATTTACAACACTTGCCTGTAATAGTCAGGATTGGGAGTGAAAGTGGTGGTATTAAGAAGGCCATAGTTTCCTCCAATTAAGGTCTGTCTGCAATAGACCTTAGTGTTGTATCTAGATGAAAGTCCAAGTTGATCTAAGTACCTACAGTTAATTTGAATCAGAATCTTTAATTTCAAATCAACAATTTCTCTTTTACAGAATAAAATACAATCCTTAATTTAGCACAAAAAAAAAAGAAACACAAAATTATGGAAGGAATCTCCAAGATTACCAAAAGCTATTCACAAATGTGTTAGAAACATATCGACCACCACTGTTGAATGCTCCCCCAGCTTCTCCAACCCAAGCAACTGACCAAGGACCGTGTTTCTGAATAGTTTCTGAAAGATTGCTAAAAAGTGACTCCACCTTGCTCGATCGCACAGGATCCAGAATCTTATTTTCAAGATGCGGATCACTACCTAAACAAAAACAAATCATTTTAACTTCTAGGAAGAATATTCTAACATATGTTAGACTATAGTAGAAAGAACTACGTAAACCTGGTCCCAAATTATATACATGATGAGTCATCACGTCGACAACGCCAGGACCTGAAACCTGAAGAAGCTGATCAAACCATTCCTTTTGATAGAATCCTCCAGGTGCTATAAGTAAAGGTTTGAACTTGGTGTTCTTGTATAGTGTGTTTAAATTTTGTTTAAGTTTTATCAAGTCTCTTCCATATTGTACAGCACCAACACTTGCAGCAATGCCTTTACCACTTAACTCATTACCTATACATGGAGAATGCAAAGCATAAGTTTCTAATGAATTGGAATTGAACATGACAAATAGTTTTTTTTCCCATGTCTTACCAAATTCCCATGAATCAATTTTGTATCCCTTTGAAATAGTGTAGTTTATGAAATCATAAGCATTTGTAGGGTCCCAATTTCCTCCCCAAACTGTCTGACTTATTTTATGTCTTCCAAAGAGTGCATTCAAGCCAAAAGTCACAACGGCTCTGCAAGTGATAAACACTTATTCTGGCTAGAACGAGTAAAAAAACGACAATCTAATATAAAACATCTCACTCACCCTGTGTTGTTGAAAAAATGATTCAGCTCATTCCATCTTTTCATGCGTAAACATCCTTTTGAGTATCCAAACAATCCACCATTCATCTTTTGAAATGGCTGACAAGAAAACTTCAAACTTCCTACATCATACACCACTTGATCTTGCAAAGAACCTCCGATTCTTATCCTCAAAGGCTTCAGGGCTATCAATCAACCATTGTATAAAGAACAGCATCAGATCAGACTTCAAATAAACATTCCAAAGTTAAACATATAATGCAAATTTACACACCTTGGATTGCCTTTGCAAGAATAGGATTAGACAAGTCCTGAAAAGCCAATCCACATTGAATAATCAATAATACTTATTCAAAGCTTTGCGCAAATGGTTGGTGTGCATTGTGTGCGAGTAATGGAAACTACATAAATATACTAACCAAATTCAAAAGAGATGAAGATCCCCACGGGCAATAATTGTAGTCACATTTATCACGAGGCCACCAATCAATAGTAGCACAAATGAAATTATCATCATTTTCAGCTATTGCTTGAACTCCATCTATTATAATCAAACCGTTTTCAACTTCTTGAGTTAACACGGAACCAAGAGAAACCAGAAAGAGAAACAAGATGAGATAGAATCCC